AAAAAAAGAAAAAAAATAGCAAGTATTGTTCTAATAGCCTCGTCCTTAATTGCTTGCTGTTCTGTCTCCACTCCAGGCTGTGTCAAAATGCCCTGCTTTAAATGTCCTCATGTCAGAATCTGTAAGTTTAAAAACAAGTGACAGCTTTTTCCCAAACCAGTTCTCCCTCAGATTTTCTATTTTTGTGAGTGATACTAATCACTTATTCACCCAGGTTTGAAATGCTGCTTTCATCCTTAATTAGCTCTTCCTCCATTCTCTCACAGCTGATTAGTCACCATTCTTGTTCAATGAATCCTTCATAATATTTCCCTTTTATTCCTCATCTCCTTAACAAATTGTTCACCACATTCATAAACTATCCTAACTCGATGGCAATGCCATCAAGTTGATTCTGGTTCGTAGCCAGCCTATAGAACAGAGTAAGACTGCCCCATAGGGTTTCCAAAGCCATAATCATTATGGAAGATTACCACATATTTGTCCTGCGCAGAGCAACTTGTAGGTTTGAATTCCTGACTCCTCGGTTAGCAGTCCAGCACTTAACCACTGCACCACTAGGGCTCCTATATCCTCTTTTTTTCTATCAATTACAGCACTGTCCAGTTAATGTTGTCCACCTCCAGCAACACAAGATGTATCAGCATTGATTCAACATTTTAAAAAAATGAATGGCTAGTCTTCCCAACTAAACCTTAAATTCCATAAAAGCAAGAATAAAATTTTATAATCTCTGTTCTGCATTACTGTAATTACCAGATAATTAGATGATTGGTAACTTTTTACTACTGATATGGCTAATTTCCCCTAAAAAGAAAAGTTTCATTTTAAATATCTAACTCTAGAACCAGATTCAAAGAAAATTCAGATTACCCCAAATTTATTTTGCATACTTTGGGGACATTTAATTCATAACAAAAAAGAGAGGTAACTGTGTTTTTTTTTTTTTTTTTTCCAAAAACACATCAAACTTAGAATTTAATTCTGCTTCAATTAACTAGGAGTTCTGGTGGTTAAAGCATTAGGCTGCTAACCAAAAGGTCAATGGTTTGAACCCACTAGCTGCTCTGCAGGAGAAAGATGAGGCAGTCTACTTCCATAAAGATTTATAGCCTTGGAAACTCTAGAGGCAGTTCTGCTCTGTCTTATAAAGTCTCTATGGGTCGGAGTCAACTCTATGGCAGTGGGTTCTATCAACTAGTCAGGATGCAAATTTCTTAACTTTGGCCTCCTCACCTGTTATATACCTGTCCAAGGGAGTTTACTGTGAGGTTTTGATGACATAATATATGAAGGTACTTTGAATATTTCCAAATCTACATAAATAGATTATTATGTCACGAAGTCCCCAGAATCAACATCCTACTGTTTTTTAAGATAATGATTTTTCTGTTAACTGCCTAGTTAGAAACATCAGCTGTCTTATCAAGTTGATTGAAAGACTGGTTGTACAATGGGTTTATACCAAATTAATATTACTTTGTTAACACTGTCTTGTGTACAGTTTCTTCAGGTAAAGCCCCATCCTGCTGCCTGCCATCCTCAGGTGAACAGGTGAACAGATGGCTTTTCTAGAGGGCGTAGCATTTTTATCAGGGGTGAAGAAATTTGTTAAATGGGAATCCACTTGAAATTAGCAAATTACATCCCCCTTTGCCTTAAATTTACTTTTAGGGTCTCCCATATACTGTCACAGTTCACGAATGGGTGTGCTTGCCCTCCCTAGCACTAAGTAGTCCTCCTTTGGCAGCAAATGCTGTCTTGTAATGTATTTGTTTCCAAATGTGTTTGCCATGTAAGTCTATGGGTATCATAAAACAGAATTCAAACCCACCAGCCACTCCTCGGAAGGAAGGGTGGGAGATCTACTTCCGTAGTGATACTGCCTCGGAAACCCAGGGAGGGGTCGCTATGAGTCGGGTCTGACTCGACGGCACATAACGACAAAAACAACAACATAACTTATTTCTTCACTATTTGTGTGTATGTTTCTTTTTTGCAATTCATTTATTTTTATATCCCTGGCATCTAGCACCAATAGAGGAGACTTGGTGATGCAAGGGTTAAGTGTTCAGCTGCTAACCAAAAGGTTGGTAGTTTGAAACCAGCCAGTGGCTCTGTGAGAGAAAAACCTGGTGATCTGTCCTCATGAAGAGTTAGCCTAGAGAACTCTGTGGGGTCACTGTGAATCAAAAATGAACTCGACGGTACCTAAGAACAACAATATATACTAAACGAATGAATGTGGAAAAGGTCACACTTCAGATGGTGACGATGTCCTTGTCTCATTTTTATTCCCCCCTTTTCCTTTCCCCTACACAAAGCAGAATAAATAGGAGGAGGCCCCAGTGTCCCAATGACCGTTAGTTCAATTGACAAGACCACAGGGAGCCAGGCTTCCCTGGAGATCCCTTCCCCTTTCTATCATCTACCCTCAGGGTTCCAGGGGTTTCTTACAGGTCTTATCTTCCAAAAGATACCTTTCTCTGCTTAAAAAGGATCCTTATTTTGGTGTTCTGTTCTCAACAAACTCTTCTAAAAGGAAAATCATTTGGTGAATTCATTCCAATTTTGTTGTTAATGACAAGCAACTCTTTATTATCTCATTCTGGGAAATGTGCATTTAAAAAAAAAAAAGATGAGGAATACTGATAAATAGGATTGAGCCCAAGGAATGAATGAATTGCTAATAGTGTGATGTCAGTCAGTGAGACTGGCGACTGGCGGTTGGTACAGAGGAGGAGGGAGGCTTTAGAACAGCAGAGGTTTTCCTTTGCCCTGGAAACCTACTTGTAAGACCTGGCCTTACTCAAAGACGAAAAAGGAAAAAAAAAAAAGTCACACCCTACTCTGTCCTTGTGATCCTCTTCTCTGCTTCCTGCATCACAAAAATGTTGTAGGGGAACAAGAACAAATCTATGCTCAATGAAATGACTGCCTACTGGAATCTTTCTGAGTTAATGTCATTGATGGACAGGATGGGGGCTGGGGAGGGGATGAGAAGGTGGAGATAAAAGAGTGGATCAGCTCAGAAGAAACTCTCTCCAGCTTCAAATTGCTGGGGATATCCTGAGTCCATTGTAAAATGAGCCTTCCCAACATTAAACCCCTGATTTATTCTCCAGTCAGCCTGAGGAAAGTCTGCTGAACAGAAACCAAACCAAACTATTGCCATCAAGTCAATCCTGACTCAGCCTTTGCTGACCACAGGGAAAAAAAAAAAAAAAAAAAAAAACCTAACTCACTGCCATTGAGTCAATTCCAACTCATGTTGTTGTTCTTGTTATGTGCCGTCGAGTCGGACCCGACTCATAGCGACCCCTCCTTGGGTTTCCGAGGCAGTATCAACTCATAGTGACCCTGTAAGACAGAGTAGAATTGCCCATAGGGTTTCCAAGCCTGCAAATCTTTACAGAAGCAGACTCCCTTGTCTTTCTCCTGTGGAGCGGCTCGTGGGTTTGAAGCACTGACCTCGGTTAGCAACCCAATGTTTTAACCACAGTATCACTAGAGCTCCATCACTATGGAAGTAGATTGCCCAGCCTTCCTTTCAAGTGTTTGCTAAGGGAGGGTTTAATTCTCTGCAACATTCCTTATGTCACTTTTATAGTCTCAGGGTTATCACCAGGCTGTGTGACTTTTTCGGTACTATTTATTCAGCTAGTTGCATACTCCTGTATGATGAGAGAAGCTCTTGAACCTAGTCACCTCTGTTTTCAGCCAATGACTGATACCTAATTCTGCAAATGAGGTGCCTTCAGGTACACTCCATGTGAAGCAATTTAAGCAAATGTCACTTTCATTGAGTTTTGTATATTTTTTCTCTTCCTGAAAATTGATGGGCAAAATATTATATAAAAATTCTTTTTCCTGAGCTCTGGTAGTGTAGTGCCTAAGGCACTTGACTGCTAACCAGAAAGCTGGCGGTTCAAATCCACCAGCCACTCCTCGGAAGGAAGATGGGGCAATCTACTTCCTTAGTGATACTGCCTCAGAAACCCAAGGAGGGGTTGCTATGAGTTGGGTCCGACTCGATGGCACATAACAACAACAACAATTGGAGAAGGATTGCGCATACATTCTTCAGCAAGCCTTTTATGGTTTTCTCGTATCCTGGTGATGGGACTATTTTAAATTCCCATTTTATATCACCTTTGAAGCACCACAGCTTTATTCTTTTGAATTTTTGTTTCTAAATTGAAAGAGGATAATAACTGAAAGATGGATGAAGTGTAGATTATAAAGCCTGCACTCCACGATTTGAAATCACAGAATAGAAGCATACAAATTGTGTGGTACAAAATGGTCTAATCCAAATGTCAACTTCAAGTTCCTTGGAACAACCATTAGCTCCTTGGTCTTGCTATCATTTTAGACCCAGCCCCGCCTTGGTTCAGTTGCCTTTGGAATTGGGTGGGGTCTTCTGGCTCTTCCTCCATGTTACTGAAGGCACTACTGCTCCAACCACCTCTTTTTTCATTGCTGATGACCCTTCTCAGCAGCGGGAGATTGGGGGGAGGGAGAAAGTAGGGGGTCATTTGCATCACTGACATATACATCAACAGGCTACAAGTGAGACATGAAGTTAACAGCAGAGACACAAGATGCCCATATAATTAATACCTTTCTAAAAATGAGACCTGTTACTACACAGATTGCTCTTCATTTCCAATTTTCTTCAAAGGCACATAGGTAGGGCTGCTGTAGGAATGGTGTAGGCCATAGGGGTACACCCATAGGGATACAGTCCCTGGAGACTCAACAGCTTTTTCATATCTGTAAATTTGAGAACTGTCCTCAGAGATGGAAGAGATTCTTCCAAACGCAAATACAGTAACAGTAAATGCCCTTGGCACAACCATGTATCTACTCACCGTGTTTAGGAACCAAATGCCAGGTAAGAATGTGCAGCACCTGTAGTTTGAGCAGTGTGAAGTAGTAACTCGCCTAGTGGTGTTTCCGGTGTTGAAGGTACTTGTGTTCTGTGTCTCTCCCCACAGCCATTGACCTGCTCTACTGGCGGGACATCAAGCAGACGGGAATAGTGTTTGGGAGTTTCCTGCTGCTGCTCTTCTCCCTGACCCAGTTCAGCGTTGTGAGTGTGGTGGCCTATCTGGCTCTTGCTGCGCTCTCAGCCACCATCAGTTTCCGCATCTACAAGTCTGTTTTACAAGCTGTGCAGAAAACCGACGAGGGCCACCCTTTCAAGTGAGTGTCCAGCTTTCCTAGCTCTCCCCCGCCTCCCGCGTGGCTCTCCCCCGCCTCCCGCGTGGCTCTTCCCCTTGGCTCTGTTCCAGATCACACTCACTTTCCGTCATGTGTTTCTGAGGCCGAGCAGACTGTTAGAAGTGAATTTCTTGGGGTGGGGAGGACAACTCAATTATCCTTGTTTCAACACTAATTGCTTTATCGAGTGTTTATATACGAATTACTGCTACAACTAGTAGAAATCATGATTCATCATAGGTGTCCAGTGTTTTATAATTTAGAGGGTTGCAACAGTTAACTTAATCCTCTCAACTCTGTGAAGAAGGCAGGGCGGTCATTACCAGACCTATTTACAGGTGGAAAAGCTAAGCTTCCAAGAAGTGAAGTGGCTTGTCAAGTTCAGTGACTATAACAGAGCCAAGATTAGGGTTTTTTGATTTTTATTTTCATGTTCTCTTTGGTTCCTAAAGGCCCAATGCTCTGAGGGTTGCAAGGTCCAGGAACAGTCTCATAATGTGCCCTCCTCTGCATTTTTATAATAAGGATTTCTGATTAGAAGGACTATGAAGAGGAGGAAATATCTAAAAAGGCAGGGTACTAAGAGAATGTATAAGATGTGACAGAGGAGGATGTCATCATTGCTAGCTGCATGCCACTCAACTCTACCCCAATTTATCTCCCAGTGCTAGCTTATAAACCCTGAGTACTTTGAGCACCGTCCGTGTCACCCCCTCACCTGGTGCCTGGCCCCAGAGTCTAGGCTCTACAGCAGGTGTCCTCACCCCCTCTAACCACAGGAGGCTTCTGAGGCCCAGCTAACAGGTGGAAATGACGCTGTGGAATCGCTTCTGGGCTAGCCTCAGTCACTCACCGACAGTCCTCCCTGACACCCCCTCACCCTCACTAATCAGCTGGATCAAGGCCTCAGTAACACCAGACTCTTGGAAAAGGAAAAGACACCTGTTTACAGGGACAAAAGGGAAAGGACTGTATCAGATGCCCTTCCTGGTCTCTGGTTCCTGGGCTTAGGGTACAAGAAAGTTAGAGTCTGGATATCCTTGCCCCTAGGAGGTACTTGGCCTGCTTCTGATGCATCATTAATGGGTCTTCTGGGCTATAGCATGCTATACAAGTTCCCATCCCCAAATGTGGAAAGAGCCACACAAACAGAGTGTCATCTTAACAGGGTGTGTGGTTGTTGTTGTATACATGGTCTATTTTAATGGCCCTGGCTTGTGACAGAGTCCACACCTTTAGAGTTCCCCTCTGCCCCCACCTCTGCCTTTAGCCATTCAAGCAAGATCTGTTTCTCACATGTTCTTGGTCCCCAGGGCTGTTACATTAAATGGGAGAACTTATCTCTCATTTGGTTTGTATCTTCCAGTACCCAGATATAGGAACAACAGTCTAACAATTAGTCTACAATTAGCTCAACTACCTTATCTTCTTTAAGGAGAGAAATTTGAAATATAAAGCTTTCCTCTAGTCATTTTCATCAATGAAAGGAATATCTGACTCAAAGCACATTTTGAACTAAAGCACACTATCTAGACAAATCAGTATTTTTCTATTTTTATTAAAGAGGAGAAACCAAATTATTTGAATAAACTCTCTAAAACTCAGACCAAACTCTGATTTGCCCTTTTCAGCTCAGTTCCAAGAGTTGGATAAACATCATAAGAAACATAGGTCTGTCTTTGAGGTGGACAGCATCGTGCTGTCTTAAAGGAGTAGAGGGAGGGTCATGAAAGAAGGAAGGAGGGATGGAGACGGGGAAGACAGACGGCTGTGGGTGAGCACGGAACAGGAAGGTGCCTAGTTCATTCCCCCAAAAGTTACATTTGGCCATTAGAATAAATAGAAAATACATGATTACTAAAATATCCTTCTTAACAGAACCAATGAGCATTTTAACATTGCCCAGATCATTTGGGTTTTCAGTGCTCTCTAAATAGAACCTGGAAGTACATTCCAGAATTTAAACATGAACTCTTAGAGTTCCCATGAACAACAAGAATTGCCTGCTAGGATTTTCAGATATCTCCCCTGTCTCCATGCAACCAAGAAAAAGTGGGGCTTTCCCCACTACCTGATGGATCAGGGATATCTGAAGAATTCAGCAAATCAGCTAATTTGGACTGACTTTTCTGTAGTCCCAGCCAGTTTTCCTGAGTGGTCAGCTCACTCTGCAATGATGTCTTTGGTACAGAGAAACAGTCACAATGCCTCACTAAGAGCCATGGTCCTGTGGGCTCCAGTGTATTAGAAGGGGGAGTATATGGTGCCCTGTGTCCCACTGGCTGTATAAACCCTTCAGAGAAGTGTGGCTGTCCTCAAAGTGAGAGAGGATAGCTTGCTGGTTAATGTTGCACTGTGTCCCCCAGCCTGCTCCATGACTCCTTCTGATGGGTTCTCTGTGCGGATGGCGGTTTGTTGACAGGGCCTACCTGGAGCTCGAGATCACCCTTTCTCAGGAGCAGATTCAGAAGTATACGGACTGCCTGCAGTTCTACGTGAACAACACACTTAAAGAGCTGAGGAGGCTTTTCCTTGTGCAGGACCTGGTGGATTCCTTAAAAGTATGATCAATTATACCATTCACTTTACAGTCTTGATTTTGTTTTCCCTAAAGATGTAATATTATAAGCCACCTTGCAATGAAGAAGAAAAAATAGGTGCTAATCATGGAGCTCTGGTGGTGTACTGCCTAAGGCACTTGACTGCTAACCAGAAGGCTGGCGGTTCAAACCCACCAGCCACTCCTTGGAAGGAAGGCTGGGCAATCTACTTCCGTAGTGATAGCAACTTGGAAACCCAAGGAGGGGTCGCTATGAGTTGGATCCGACTCAACGGCACACACCACCAACAACAATCATGTTCTAGAGTCTGAAAACTTCCAGCTATATGTATGTCACCAATGGAGATCACTGAACTTATGCTCTTCATTTTATGGATAACAAAGTTGTGTCTCAGAGTTTAAGACACTTGCCCAAGGTTGCCAAGTGAGTTACTGGAAGAGCTGGGATCAATGTGGGTCATACAGCTGCTAGTTCTGCACTTTTACAACACACCAGGTTGCCTTTTCTTACCATTGCCTACACAGTTTCCATTCAGAGGCTGAGCAATCTGAAGGGCTAAGGTCTGGCAGATCCAATACTCAGCCAGCCTCTGCAGCAGTGGGGTTTTATTCCTGGTTCTCTCATGAATTTAGTGGATTTCTTTGGTCAAAGTGTTTTCACCTCCCTGTGACTCCATGTCAAATGAAAGCCAACCAATCATGATTCAGCGAGGGTAGGGAGAAGCCCCAGTGATGTTGTTGTGAGTTTTCTGTGCCCCAGAACACTTTGTACACATCCTGACAGGGGTCTTGTACACAGCGGCTGCCTGGTTTGTTCAAGGAGAGGCAGAGGGAAAAGTGAGCAATGTGGTCTTGACCCCTAGAGCTTTACTGGAATATGGCTTGCCAAGTAATACTAATGAGAGATACCAGAGAGAGTTTAATTACTTACTCTAGTACTTTTAAGGTGACATTTCTATTTGTAATGTGAAAATTATAGACTAAATACTGGCCTGATAAAGACTGGTGAAACCCCCAAGACTATGGCCCCTAGTGTCACTCCGTGCTTGGAATTAAACTGACTTCCATGTCTTGATCTTTAACCAAACAATAGACAGGTTCAAGAGGTAAACAACCACACCAGGGAGATGCACCCCTTAGAACAATCAACCATAGGAGATCAGAAGGCAGCGTTTGCACAGGGAGTTAGCTCAGAAGGCAGGAATGCATAGGAAAGAAGGACGTAGGGAAGGGTAACCAGAGGGAGGAATTGGGAAGAGAGCTGTTGTCACATTGTGAGGATTGCAGTCAGTGTCATGACACAAAATGTGTATGAACCATTGAATGGAAAACTAATTTGCTCTGTAAAGTTTCACCCAAATCACAATAAAAAATTTTTAAAAAGAAGAAAAAAAAATTTTAATTGTAGACTAGATCCAGGGTAAACAATCCTTTTTGATAAAGGGCCAGATAGTATTTTAGCCTTTGTGGGCCACAGTCACTGTCATGCTACTCACCTTTGCCATTATAGCCTGAAGGCAGCCAAAGACTATAAGTAAAAGAAAGACCCTGGTTATATCCCAATACAATGTTATGGACACTGAAAATTGAATTTCGTGTTTTTACCCATCACAAAATATTATTCTTGTTTTGATCTTTTTTTTTTTTTTGAGCATTTAAAAAGGTAGAAACTATTTTTAACTGATGAATCCATACTAAAATAGGCAAAGGCCATAATTTTCCAATCCCTGGACTAGGTTATTTCATTCGATCCCTCAAATTTCCTAACAAAGAGATTGGCAGGTTTCTGAGAGAAGTAAGGGATAGAACCTCTTCCAGTGATTCTGTGGTGAGCTTGAAACACCTTATTGCTTTTATATTTTCTGTCAAAATCATGGTGTATTTTACCTCGAATTCTAATCTTAAAAAATCAATAAAATGAGACTTGTACGTGTCACAGTTTTAGGAGCTCTGATGATCTTTTCATTCTTCAGTTTGCAGTGCTGATGTGGCTCCTGACTTACGTTGGCGCTCTCTTCAACGGTCTGACCCTGCTGCTCATGGGTAAACACAGACAAGAGCCTATTATGTCAAGTTCCACACATGCAGTGAATCTAATGCTTCTTAGGCTGTTAGCTTCCAGATTGTTTTGGTAGATTCCTGGGCACAAATGCCACAGATATCCTTCAGTACAGATCATTTCCATAGTTGCATTAAAGAGTATTATTATAATAATAATGAATTTATTATTCTGGAGCTTTTTGTTTTTATTCAACCACAACTAATTTTATTTGCATTCTAATGTATATTTATCTGCAATGGCAGCTATAGATAGAGATTAATTTTCATCGTGGAGAGCATATTATTCTAGGAATGATGACATAATATCGATAAAAGACTTAGTTCTTTTCATTTTCTTGGTGAACTGCCCTGTTATCTTTTATCTGGAATGCTAGTTATTGTAACTAATGCTATAATATTATTACAGCATATATTATAACTATATAAAAATATGTGTATAAACTTATTCTTACTGATAACTCTCAGTATTTTAATATTGTATTTGTTTTTCATCCCAGCTGTGGTTTCAATGTTTACTCTACCTGTAGTGTATGTTAAACACCAGGTAAGTTCTATGTGATGTCAAACATACGTGTTACATTTTGACCTCATGACCTTTGGATGTGCTCATGATTTCTTTCTCTTTATAGGCACAGATTGACCAATATCTGGGACTTGTGAGAACTCACATAAATGCAGTTGTGGCAAAGTAAGTTGCATAGTGTGATTCTTAAACAGGAGAGAGTGTCTTAGGCAGGCATGAGTGGATTGGATAGGGGTAATGCCTAAGGCATTTGACTGCTAACAAGAAGAAGGTTGGTGGTTGAAACCAGGAAAATGAGGCAATCTACTACCATAAAGATTTACTGCCTCGGAAACCCAACAGGGATTGCTATGAGTCAGAATGGACTCTTTGGCAATGAGGTTTTTTTTTTTTTTTTTTGGTTTTTGGTTTTAGTAAAATAATAGGTGACTTTTGATTGTTCACTCACTTATTAGAGTTATATGTTCATTCCTTTTCTAATTATATTATTTCAGAAAATAAGTATAAATTGTAAAACTTTCAATTAAACAAAATCTTCCATGAGTTATATCAGGTATTATAATGAATGAATTTGATAAAGATATTAAGGTCTCTCTGAGAACTGTCCTATATCCAAGAACAAGATTGGCTAGTAGAAAGAAGGAAGCCTGATTTGGAAAAACAAAATTAATTTATAATAACTTATTTGAAATAAAAACAACTAAGTGATCAAACATTATTAATTTTTAAGCAATGAATATTACTAAATTTTTTAATTATTACAATTTTTTTAAATTGTGATTTGGGTGCATATTTACAAAGCAGATTCGTTTTACTCTCAATAGTTCATGCACATTTGATTTCACAGCCCATATTACAATCACTAACCATAGAAGCTCTACTCCCCTCTCCTCCCTGTGACTACCCACTTACTTGTGCCCTTCTGATCTATGCATTCCTGTCTGTGCAGTTTTCCCTCTGTGTGAATGCTGCCCTTCTGATATCTCATGGTTGATTGATCCAAGGGATGCATCTCCCTAGGGTAGGTGGGTGTTTCTCCCTCAGGCAGGTGTTCTGCTTGGAGGTCTTTCTACAAGCTGTGAGCTAATCCATGGAAGGGAGTCCATTTCCAGGCCCAAAGGATAACCTGGGGCCATAGTCTTGGGAGTTCCAACAGTCTCTATCCAACCAGTAATTCTGGTTATTTTTGTACTTTTGAATTATGTTTCACATTTTTCCTCCCACTCTATCTAGTATCTCCAATTTTGATCTCTTTCTGAGTGGTTGGCATTGTTAGCTGGGCCAGGGCTCATTCTTCTGGTCTCAGGGTTGTGAAGGCTGAGGTCCTTGTGGTACATCATATCTTAGGACTAATTGTTTTCAAATGACTTTGATTTTCTTCACTCTTCTTTGCTCCAGATGAGAGGAGATCATCTTAATTGTATTGTAGATATCTGCTCAAAAGCTTTTAAGACCCTTGTTGCTACTCACTAAAGTAGGATGTAGAACATGATTTTATGTTCTATGTTGTGCCAATTGAGCATAATAGCCCCCAAGACTATGGTCCTGTGCCCACAGGCCTGGTATTTCTCTCCCTCAAGGTGTTTGGCTGTTTCTTGAGACGTTACTCCAACCTTGTCCTCTGTTACTTCTTTAATCTATGTGGGTAATTTTGTAGCACAACTACATATGTAAGACTGTGTTTAGCCAAATCTATCCTTGGTCTTGGGTATATTCCTGTTGACCTGCCCTCATCTGATTTTTTCACCTGTCTATGCATTTACCCATAGGTTAGTGTTTGCTGCCACTGTTAATTCAGTATTGTGTGTGTAACAATATTTGCCTCTGTTGTCTATATCTTTTTTGCACATTTCTGTGTCCTCCCTTTGCCCATTGTCACCATGCTGGTCACACACTCTTACTATACTGCCCCTTCCCTCACCCAAATCAACATGTGACCCCCAACTAATCAGAAATATTCCCTTCCTTTCCCTCCATCCCTGTAACCAACAAAGTGAATTTCCTTCTCTGCATAAACCTTTCCTTAATATTTTACAATAATGGACTCATACAATATTTGTCCTTCTGTGATTGACTTATTTCACTCAGCATAATGTCCTCCAAATTCATCCAAATTGTGTGGTGATTCATGGATTCTTCATTATTATAATGTTGCATAGTATTCCATTGTGTTAATGTACCATAGTTTAATTATCCATTCATCTGTTGATGGGTACTTAGGTTGTTGCCATGTCTTTGCTATAGTGAATTGTGCTGCAGTGAATATGGGCATCCATATGTCTGTTTGTGGCCTGGATCTCCCCTCTTTACGATATATTCCCAGTAATGGAATTGCTGGATCAAATGGTATTTCTGTTTTCAATTTTTTAAGGAAATGCCATACCATTTTCCAGTCCCACCAGCAATATTTGAGAGTTCTAGTCTCTCTACACCCTTGCCAGCATTTGTTGTTTTCTGTCTTGTTGAACTTTGCTATTATTGCTGGGTAAGATGATATCTCCTTATTGTTTTAATTTGCATCTCTCTAATGGTTAATGATCATGAGCGTTTCCTCATGTGTTTGTTGGTCACCTGTATATCTTTTTTAGTGAGGTATTTGTTCATATCCTCTGCCCATTTTTGAATTGGTTTTTTTTGTCTTTTTGATGTTGAAATGTTGCAGTTTTCTATAAATTTTGGAGATAAGTCTCTTGTCAGATATGTCATAGCTGAATATTTTTTCCCAATCCGTAGATTATTTTTTACCTTTTTGGAGAAGTCTTTCGATATACACAAGAATTTAATTTTTAAAAGGTCTTAGTCATCTACTTTCTCTTCCACTGCTTGTGCATTTTTGGTTATGCTTGATAGTCTATTTATGCCATAAATTAAGGCCGCTAGATTTGCCCCTGCTAGCACAGTGCCTAAGGCATATGACTGCTAACCAGAAGGCTGGTAGTTAAAACCCACCAGCCACTCTGTGGAAGCAAGACTGGGCAATCTATTTCTGTAAAGATTTACTGCCTCAGAAACCCAATGGAGTCGCTGTAAGTTGGAATCGACTTAACAGCAGTAGGTTTGGTTTCTTTGGTTTAGATTTGCCCCTATTTTAATTTTAAGTAACTTTATAGTTTTGGGTTTTACATTCAAGTCTTTGATCCAACTTGAGTTTGTTTTTGTGTATGGGGTGAGGGATAGATCTTGTTTCATTTTTCTGCAAGTGGATATCCAATTTTGCCAGCACCATTTATTAAAGGGGCTATCTCTCATTCATTTAATGGGTCTTGGCCCATTGTCAAAGATCAGCTGTCCATAGATGGGTCTCTTTCTGGGTTCTCAGTTCTGTTCCATTGGTCTAGTTATCTATCATACCAATACCAGGCTGTTTGACTACTGTGCCTGTATGGTAGGTTTTGAGATCAGGGAGTGTGAGATCTCCTGCTTTATTTTTATTCTTCAGGAGTGCTTTGCTTATCCAAGGTCTCTTTCCTTTCCATATGAAGTTAGTGATTGGTTTTTCCATGTCCTTAAAGAATTACTGGTTGGGCAATCCTACTTCTGTAGTGATACTGCCTCAGAAACCCAAGGAGGGATCGCTATGAGTCGGGGCCGACTCGACAGCAAACAACGACAACAACAAAGAATACTGATGGAATCTGGATTGGGATTGCATTGAATGTGTAGATAGATTGCTTTGGGTAGTATGGACATTTTCACAATATTCAGGAATATTGAGAGGAATCCAGCTGATTTTTGTATGTTGACCTTGTATCCTGCTACTTTGTTGAATCTTTCTATTGGTTCCAGTAATTTTCTTACTGAGTCTCTTGCATTTTCTATATATAGGATCATGTCATCTGCAAGTAGAGATAGCTTTACATCTTCTTGCCAAGAGTTCCCTTTCTTGCCTTATTGCCCTCGCTAGAATTTCAAATACAATGTTAAATAGAAGTGGTGATAGAGGGCATTCATATCTGGTTTCCATTCACAAGGAGAATGTTTTGAGTCTTTTTCCATTGACAATAACGTTGGCTGTTGGTTTTGCACATGTGCCCTTTATTATGTTGAAAATTTTCCCTTCTATTCCTATTTTAATGAGAGTTTTGAACAGAAATGGATGTTGGATTTTATCAAATGCCTTTTCTGCATTAATTGATATGATCACATGGTTCATTTATTTTGTTTTATTTATGTGATGGATTACATTGGTTGTTTTTCTGATGTTGAACCATCCTTGAATACCTTGTATGAATCTCAGTTGGTCACAGTGTATGATTTTTTTGATATGTTGTTTGATTCTTTTGGCTAGGATTTTGTTGGAGATTTTTGCATCTATATTCATGAGGAATATTGGTGTGTAGTTTTCCTTTTTAGTGGTGTCTTTCCCTGGTTTTGGTGTCAGTGTTATGCTTGCTTCATAGAATGAATTTGGAAGTATTTCATCATTTTCTATTTTCTGGAATAGTTTGAGTAGTATAAGTGTTAGCTCTTCTCTGAACATTTGATAGAATTCTCAGTGAAGCTGTCTGGGCTGGGACTTTTTTTTCTGGGGAGTTTTTTTATGACCTGATCAATTTCTTCTTTTGTTATGGGTTTGCTCAAGTATTCTGTTTAACTTGGTCTTGTGTTTCTAGAAATTTGTCCATCTCTTCTAGGTTCTCAAATTTGTTGGAGTAAAGTTCTTCATAATATTGTTATTATCTTTTTTATTTCAGTTGGTTCTTTTGTGATGTTGCCTTTTCATTTATTATTTATGTTATTTCCATCTTCTCTTTCTTTTCCTTTGTTAAATATTCTAGTGGTTTGTCAAATTTCGTTAATTCTTTTCAAAGAATCAGCTTCTTGTCTTGTTGATATTCTCTATTTTCTTTTCTTTTTGTTGTTTTCTGCTTCATTTATTTCTGCTCTGATCTTTATTATTTCCTTACTTGTGGATACTGTAGGTTTCTTTTGTTGTTCTTTTTCTAATTTTTTGGAGTTGTTGAGCTAACATATTGATTTTGACTCTTCTCTTTTGATGTGTGTGTTTATTGCTATAAATTGACCTCTGAATACTGCTTTCACTGTGTCCCAAAAGTTTTGGTAAGTTGCATTTTCATTCTTGGTTCTTAGTTAGTTAAAGGAAAAACAAATGATGAGTACATAAAATGATATCATTAATTACTGCCTTTTGATATGTCTTTTCAGGATTCAGGCAAAAATCCCAGGAGCTAAAAGGCACACTGAGTAAACAGATATCCCACCTGGGACTGGACACAAAGAGGAATGTCTGGAGTGGTAACAGCTCTGTTCTTACACGTGACTGCAAATTGTTTTCCCCCATACCATAATCTTAGAGACACACTTTAAAACAGCTGTTTTTAGGCTGTTTCTGTACCCTTAGGATGTTTGAGTCATATGTGTCAAGCACTAAAGTATAGAGAAAAGTGTATTAGATGTGGTTTCTATTTCATGTTGCTAAAAAAAAAAAAGAAAAAAAAAGTGCATGATGGTGAGAGCCCAAGTTATCTTTCCTTCTTTGGTGTTGTTCTCCTCTCTGCAATGCTTCTGTAGCTTCTAACGTTCCCTGTGGCTAGGCCTTTCCTGAGTGCACTGACGCAATAGTGGAAACTGCTTACATGTCCCTGGGTTGCTGGTTGGATTAATCTTTAATAACAATATATATAGCCTCGTAGACTGATGTTTTAGTGTTTCTCCAACACACACAATGTAAAAGTAAAAGCAGTCGACCGTACTCATGGTAATCAGTTTTGTATAACTTAAATAAATAAATGGAAAAACCCCAAACAAACACGCAGTACTTTTGTTGTATGGGATCATGGGCTGACTTACATGTATGGTAACTGAAAGAGTACCAGCATGTTAACTTTATTACGATTTGTATTCCTTTCTCTGTAGTTCCTAATGGACTTAATCATGGACTCTGGATATTTGCACTTATGTACTTGATACTGAATGCATAAATAAATGTTACTAAATGTACAAGTTCTCCCTCCCTTCTTGTGGTCTTACAGGGGCAGACAAAAGCTCTGAAGCTAATGACATTCCAGGAAGGCTGAAACAGAATGCTCACTCCCCTCCCATCTCTAGGACCACCTGGTCCAATCTCAACAGGGTGTATAGCTTCTTTGGGTCATTAATAGTAATCACTGGAGAATGGTAAAACTGGAAAAGAAGCACCCTTATAGTGTACTCTCCAAGGTTACTGCAGATATTTTAAATGGTTAAAAAGAAAACTTGGAAATTATATAACCCTTTACATAAAATTTTTATAATATTATGCAACATAACTCTGGCATAAAACCACCATAATTTCTATGAACTCACTCTTCTGCTTAGTATTTATATCAAGCCAGGTGCCAAGCACTGAGAACAGGTTTGTGAAGAAGAGCAATGACAATTCCTCCATCACCAAGCTAAGTCTTTTAACAATTGCTTGCTGCTTTTGTAAAAGTCCAATTGCATTATTTTATTTCACTGTTAGAGTCAAATGTCAATGATGAAGAGATAGAAGTGAATGATCATAGTAACCATGGGAGAAATAAGAAGTAATGGGGAAAAAAAATTAATAATTACATACAAAAAGCTTGTTTTACATTTGGATTTAAATAAACGTCTATAGATTATCCTTCTGCACAAAGTGGTATGAGGGAAACAAAGGCAACTTGGCACTGTGCCAGTAGCCAAGAAGCTTCCATCTTGATGTCAGGGGAGGGTTGGAAGGCAGGTTGTCGATGCTCTGTGCCATCCAGTTGATTCCAACTCACAGTGATCCTATAGGATACAGTAGAACTATAGCTATTTGGAAATCCTAACTGAATAAAAACAGAATGAAGTAAGAGCTGTAAAACAAGATTAGAGCAACAGAGATGGTATTCTCAGGAATACTTTGAGCTTGGTCTTGATTTGGCTTTTGCCAGATGGAGAAATTTTATCACAGAATGAAGAAAGAATGTAAGCTATGGCACTAAGACTTGGAAGTGCATGCCATATGCAAAGAATGGTGAGTAGTAAGCTGAATTGGGTTATAAGGTCCTTGGGGTAGGAATGGTAGTCCCAGGCAATGAAAAGTGGGTTGAAACCACACTAGGACCACATTAGGAATAAACATGAATACCAGTGCCAAGCAGTTTAGACTATATTCTTTGGGTCAGGAGTCACATAAACACAATGTGAGTGTAAGACATTGGGGATTAGAAGAATATAGGATATAATTGTAACCATTCTATAGCAACAAACAACTCTGACAAACAGGAAATCAATGACTATGGCTTCAACTAGAGCAGCTACAGTGGGAACAGAAAAGAGATATTCTCCTGTCTATGATTAATCCAACATGCCAAGCATCCACCATCATGGGCAGGGGAGCAACTAAGAGAGACTTTGTGGAAGGAGATCGGACTGGGGGGTTTGAAGACCAGGGATAACCCTAAGAGTGAGTGGCTCCTTAAATTTTGCACCCTGGCAGCTCACTTGCTTCACTTAGCCTTGGCCCTGTCTAAGGCCAGCTGATCGGGGGAATTGGCAATCTATTTTCCAGGATAGATAGCCCATAAGGGAGCTCTGGTGGCATAGTGCCTAAGGCATTTCAGTGCTAACCAGAAGGCTGGCAGTTCAAACCCACCAGCCACTCCTCAGAGGGAAGATTGAGCAATCTACTTCCATAGTGATACCACCTCGGAAACCCAAGGAGGGGTCACTATGAGTCGGCTCTGACTCGACAGCAGTGAGTTTGGTTTTTTGATTTTCTGTGTGTAGAAAACTAGTTACCATCAAGTCCATTCTGATGGTGACCTTACGAGCTTGGCTACTAATTGAAAGTTTAGAGGTTCTAGTCCACCCAGAGTGATCTTCAGTACTTCTAAGATGCCTTAAGAAGATTCTCTGTAGGAGGTTGAAAAAGGTTGTAACCCTTGAAAGAATGTTAGAAAGGGGACTATATCATGACAGTATCCCCTAGCGCTGGATTTTGGCCCCTGTTGGGCTTTCATCATCACATAAACCCTACTAGTGTCCATTCTTCAGAAAGTTAGATGCAGCCTTTGCTTCCAACTAGCTGACAAATAGTACGGAAGAATTTTGTTAATAGGTCTTCATAAAATTATCAGATATGTTCACAAAGATGTATGTTATTGTTAGGTGCTATTTTGGTTACCTAGTGCCACTCTAACAGAAATACCACAAATGGGATGGCTTTAACAAACAGGAGTTTATTCTGTTACAATTTTGGAGGCTTTAAATCTGAGTTCAAAGTGGCAGGCTCCATGGGCTGGGTGAAAGCCCCTCAACCTTGGGCTTCAGCTCTGCCTCCTGCTCCCAGCCCACTGAAGCTGGAGGCTTTTCTTTACTCAGACACCTGCTGGCTGCTGAGGCTGACAAGCCCAAGGTTGATAAGTAGAAAGGCACAGTCCCAATGCTACCAAACAACATGGCAGGCCACTAATTCAAGTCCACAAGAAGTCCTGAGATTGGCAGGGTATGGCAGGCTGTTGAACAGTGACTTGGTTACACGCAGGGTTCAAGTGTGCCAAAAGGCTAGAGTCCAATACCAAAGCTGCTTATATACTGGAAGCAAACACCTCCCTAAAGCAGCTACTCAGCTGGTCGCAGCAGATTCCACCATGGAGTTGATTGCCAGTCTCGTCATGGGAAATAACTACCTCCAGCTGCCCACCCACTCAACTAGGCCCAGCTAAATTGACAACAGTCTTAACTACCAAGGTGCCATCAAGTTGGTTCAAACTCATAGTGACCCCTTGTACAATGGAACAAAACACTGCCCATCCTCACAGTCGGTGATGTGCTTGAGTCCACCTTGCATTCACTGTGTCACTTCATCTTGTTGAGGGTCTTCCCTTTTTTCACTGACCCTCTGCTTTACAAAGCATGATATCCTTCATGTACCTCCCTCCTGACAGTATGACCAAAATTTGAGAAACTAAGTCTCACCATTCTCTCTTCTAAGGAGCATTCAGCTGTGCTTTTTCCACGACAGATTTTTTTTCTTTCTTCTGGCAGTCCGTGGTACATTCAGTATTCTTCACCAACACTATAATTCAAGTGCACCAAGTCTCCTCCTTTTTTGGTCTTCCTTATTCATTGTCCAGCTTTCACATGCATATTGTTGTTGTTGTTATGTGCCGTCAAGTCGGACCCGACTCATAGCGACCCCTCCTTGAGTTTCCGAGGCAGTATCACTACGGAAGTAGATTGCTCCATCTTCCTTCCGAGGAGTGGCTGGTGGGTTTGAACCACCGGCCTTCTGGTTAGCAGTCAAGTGCTTTAGCCACTACTCTACCAGAGCTCCTACATGCATATTAGGGGACTTAAAATAATATGGCTTGGGTAAGACACACCTTAGTCTTCAAAAATGACATCTTGGCTCTTTAACAATTTAAAGAGGTCTTTTGCAGCAAATTTGCACAATGCAATACATTGTTCGATTTCTTGACAGCTGCTTCCATGAGAAGTATTTTTACATTCCATTTTTACAATAGAAAAATATTGAAAGCAACCTAAAATGTCAAATATCAGGCAACTGATCGAGTAAATTATATGGTTTTTTGGTTTTAATGCAATGAAAGACCATACAGTCACTGAAATAATTTTGTGGAGTGACATTCTGCCATGAAAAACTGTTAATACACTGAGTGAAGAAAGTAAATTATGAAACACTATAAAATACACAGGGATCTGAACATTAATTATAAAAGGTGAATATAGTAAATAAAAAAAAGAGGGAGACATTAAGGGCGTACACAAAATGTTCAATGTAATTTTCTTTGCTTGAAGAAATTTTGAAAGATAGCTCTTTGTCTATAATTTTTTTATTATTATTAAGTTTTCTGTATTTCTTATTTTGTAACTTTTTCTCACACTTATTTTGTGAAATATTATCCCCACATAGTGTTCATCAAAACCAAAGTTATGATAACAAGTGAAAGCTCATCCCAGTAAATAGTTTCTCATTTGGAGTATTCTCATCTGCTTCTCTGGTTCACACCCTGCACTTATGTTTGCCTTATGTTGCACTTATGTTTTTCTGCCAATGGGTAAACTAACTGGTAAGTGTCAAAGGGAGGGTGAGATTGTTTGAAAACAAAACTTCATTCTTTTGACTTTGTTCATTTATTTATATAATTAAAGTCCTCCTTGATTTCCTTCCAACATTTTTTATTAAGTTTATTTCATTTTTTCCAGTAACAAAAATAATACATATGTATTGTGGAAAATTTGGGTGATAGAGATCCTACTACTCTGAGAAAGCTGCCATTAACATTTTAGTACACTTTTTTAAAAAATAATATTTTATTTTTTCAGTGAAAGTTTACACAGTAAATTAGGTTCCCATTTGACAGTTTCTATACATATTGTTCAAGTACATTGGTTACATTTTCCACAATGTGCCAGCATCCTTTTTAATTGCATTCTAGTTGTTCCATTTCCAGTAGTCTAGCTTCTGTGTCTCCATCTTCTCATCTTTGTTTTAGAGTAATTGTTGACCTTTTGGCCTCATATATATAGATGGCTTTTTAATAGAGCACTGTACTTACAGATAATATCCTTTATTTCTTGTGCTAACTTCCTTTTTTCTTTTTTTTAATTGTGCTTTGGGTACAACTTACAGAGCAAATCTGTTTTACATTCAACAGTTCATGTACATTTGATTTCATGCCCCGATTACCATCCCTGACCATAACAAACTCTCTACCCCTCCCTGTCTTATTTTCTAGGCATTTAAAAATAATTTAACTCATACAGTCTACACCTGCTTTTAAAGTTAAAATTATGAAAAATATATTCTATTTTATTCACAGGAATGTTTCATTACTTTTCTCATTAACTACATGGGAGATTTTAAAGTTCCAAGACCTTTGAATATAGGAGAACATTTTTAAAGTTATATTCTTTTTTTTTTTCAAATTATGAAGTTTGCTCCAAATACTTGAATTACAATCTGCTAATCACTCATTTTATAACTAAAG